AAGAGCCGAAGACGCAACTTTCTGCGGTCGAAACTCTGCTCAACTCTAGCCTCTCTCTCTCTCCAAACCATACGAGTGAGTTCATACCCCTACTTTTCAATTCTTTTCATGTTTTAGGGGGGGAATACAAGTACATTACAAGTCAAAGTATCATTTTATAAACATAAATGTAATATCTATCTTTGAATATCGATATAAACATCTTTATGTATAAAGAGCTATTATATCACCAAGTTATTTTCACCAAATGGAACATACTATCTGAAAAACTATAATGGGTATAGTTAATGAGTCAATCGTACATTTTACAAAACAAAACACTTTCAAAAGATGTAAGGTCATTCTTATTGTAAATCTATTTATACTAAGCAATGTGAGATATTCAAACTTCAACGTACATTTATGTATGCATTTCAAGCCCTGTATTATATACCATAATCTCTTGGAGGGAGAGCGTGATACTTGTGTATAGATCTATACGGGATTGACAACCCCGCACCTAAACTACTAGCTATAGTTAGACCGGCAGGTCTGGGGTGACAAATGTCATAACACTACAACATTTGAAGAATGTTGTTACAGGCCGTCAGTGTCAATAGCATGGTTATAAAACTCACATAACAAGTATAAAACAAGATTGATTTACGAGATTCATATGTGCATTGCAGTTTTCTACATTATTTTTCATACAAAGTTATCTTTATCATTCAAGTACGAAAGATACCAACACATTCCAACTTTGGAAACTTTTCGAATCATTTATAGAAAATATTGGATTTTCTGAAAACCTCGTTTACCGATTTGCTACCAAAAAGGATATACTTTTCAACTCGAAACACTCATGAACTCACCAACTTAATTGTTGACACTTTTTCAAAACCACTTGTATTTCTCAGGGAATCAGTAATACAGGTAACTGCAAGATTTTGAAGAAAGAACGCTAAGGACGTTTCATTTATGAACATTTATCATCATATTGTAATATTCTTTTGCTAATATGTATAACGCAACAATATACGTTTTCATTATATATATGATGGTTGTGTTACTTTCTTTACAATATTCAATCGTTGTGATACTACGTGAAGTCATCCACCCTTGAATGTTTCTGCCATTCTGGTTCGGGGGTGTGATACATAATTATCCATATTTGATTTATTTAATAATTTCTTGCAAAACAATTTACCAATTAAAATAAAATAATTAATCAATTATCACATAAGGAAACTAATATTTTATTAATTGATAAATATCTTCAATTAGGTCAAGAATATCATCATATATATCATAAAATCGGATTTATATTGATCTAATATGAAAAAGGCAAGTATCTCAAAGATAAACAGCAAGAAATCCCAAAGTTATCACATTCTGACGCTCGAACTCGCCAAGTACCCAGATGGACTCGCCGAGTTGAGCCTACTCGTCGAGTACCACCATGGGACTCGCCGAGTAGAGCAGGTAAAGAACAAAAAAATACGATTTTTTCAGCAACAAACAAGCAATCAAAATATCAATTCAATAGAAACCAATCTAGGCTCTGATACCACTGATGGGTTTTATCCATATGAACATTCCTATGTGCACATGCAACCCTAATGCTTGGATCTAGGTTTCTCTAATTGAACATACATTGAATCCAAGACTTCTAATGGCTAATATACAATAATAACAATATGAAATCAGAGATTAGAAGTTTACCTTGAATCACTTGCTTGATCTTGTTGTCCTTGAGGCTTTAGAGTCACAATTGTCACTCCTCTAATGGCTTACAAACACCAACTAGCAAGAAGATGATTTAGGAGAGAGGAGAGAGGAAGAATTTCGGCCATGGATTCTTTAGAGACAAGAGTACCGAATTCCCTCAACCCTAGAGGTCTATTTATACTTGTAAGGCTCCTAGGGTTTCACCCTTAAACCCTAATTGGATAACTTAAGCCCTAAGCAATCCAAATCCTTTCCATGATAAGCCATGGACGAATTTATGGTTATCCTAAGCCCTAGAATTCGTCCACCCCTTATCCTTAAAGGATATAGCCCAAAGTGCAACTATCAAACAATTGACAGTTTATACCCCTTTATTTAATTAATCTCTTTAAGTCACCAAATTAATTCTCAATTAATTTATGACTTATATTAATCAAATAACAATATTATTATTCCTTATATTATACTTATAATATATTAATAATATTCCTTCTCTCATTATAAATCATTATGTCAAGTTGCTATGATGAAGGCAACCCAAAAAGACCATGCACAACCGAATCAAATACTTACCAAATATAGTTGTAACCTTAGACACTATTCCAACACCATATACTCACCACCAATGTATCATTATCGCATAAATATTCCATACTATACATATAGATCAAACCAACCTAAGTTAAAATCCCCATCCCAAATTCCATCATGTAACATTGGTTTCCGGACTCCCGATATTTAATTATTATTCCTTTTTATCCTTAATAAAAATAACAATAATAATAACTAGGAAAGGGCCACCCGCAATGCGGGTGTTGGATAGACGTACATAAGGAATTCTCAATTCCTTATATTATATAATCACTGCCAGAGATTGAAATGATATCAAAGCAAATGTATGACCTAAATAGTATAACCATGCACTCAATAACTTATAATAAACAATGATGTATTGTATTTTCTTTTTTGTAAAATGTTTGGGGCATTTAAAAGCAAATGTATCGCCTAAATATTATAACCATGGACTCAACAATTTATAATAAACAATAATGAATTGTTATTTCTCTGTGTTCACATGGCCAACAAAGCAAACATTTATGAAGAATAGAAGTCAATTGAAAGTAGGATGCTGTAATTGGTAGATTTCCAAACTCCAAAAGAAATAAAACAAAAGTAAAATGTTGTAATTGGTTGATTCTATAACTACAATGCTTTAAAATGCTAAATAATGGTAAATAACTATAGGTCACCTCATTACACTATTAGTGTCTATACACAAACCATAAGAATAAGCCAAAAAATAGGTCTGATAATGATAAGCCCCAGAGTCTACTGGTGAAGGGCAAAAAGGGCAATTGACTAATTCCTTCTTGTTATGCTGATTTTTGGCCAAGAGGTATTTTGGTCTTTTTTTTAGATCGTCAATTAATGAGTCTGTAGCCAATCATGTGTGGGAAACTTTTGTTACGGGAGACAACAACTGTGGTTAGAATGCCTGTGATATACGACAATCAGCCAATGAAGATTGCTCACCTGTAATCACCAAGTGAAAGAGTCAAATTTTTTTCAACTTCATACAAATTGGTAGCAGCAGCAACAACCCCATTCACAACTATAATTTGATAGATTATTCATAACATGATGCCCTAATAAGAATAATGTAGAAAGTTCAATGCAATTAGCTACATCTCTCAACAGTGGATCTATCATCTATGTGCCCAAGAAAGCCATGGTTGGAATAACCGCCTTCTTTGTCTAATCCATCTCCTGTAGACATAAAATCATCAATATTTATTAGTTGCTTCTTAACCTTATTTATTTATTATAAAATAAATAAAAGATTTCTTTATCAAGATCTTTGTGGAATAAATGGTTACCCTGGAAAGTTGGTGCAAGAATGTCACCCCAATATAAAGCAGTTTTAACTACTGTAATTGGGTAGGTTTTTCCAAGTGTAACCTTTCAATTAAGAAAAAGAATTGAAAGTACAATGCTGAAATTGGTGGAATTTTCAAAATGAAATATAATAAAAAGAGCATACCTTTTCCATGGCATGGTAAAATGGGTAAAGATGATGCTCCACCTGCAGTTTCATCGAACAAAGGGCATAATGGTAAATAGTATTGCTTAGCACATGGAAGCCAGTCACTAAGGGGCTGTTTGATATATGTCTGACCGAGTCGGGTCAGATGTATTTGACTGACTCGGTCAGCTGAGGTTGTTTGTAAAACCAAATTAGGCTGGCTGACTCGGTAAGAGAAGTATGGGCGAGAAAGCTAAGATCAATAGCTGACTGTGAATCTTTTCCTAATCTGCCCTTGTCTTACAGTTCCTTCTCTCCCTTTCTTTCACTCCTGATTTCAACCATTTTGATTGATGCCTCCTTTAAAATGATCGATGAGAGTATTTTAGGTTAAGGATAAAATAACTTTCCCTGAAACTTTTAATTGCAGGTTCAACAACAGAAAACAACGCATCCTCTACTATTGTTGTGTCGCTGAAGAGAAGAAACAGATCCATGTTTCTGAAAATGGCAAAGCTGGTCCCTGAAGCTCTTCATGTTGACATAACCTACCATAATACTAATTTATATTAAATAAAAATTGTTCAATATTAAAAACACCAAAAAGAAAAAGGGTGTTTGTGAATGGATAAATAAATTAGAAAATGTTTTATAGTTTTTTTATTTAAGTTTCATGTACATCTTGTATGCTTGTAATTACTTTTTTTATATATAATTTTTGGATTTATTTTTCAGCAATTTCATCCATCACTGTCAGCATGGTAAAATGATCATTTTTTATTGGTCAGCACATTCAGTCAGATGTACAATCAAACAACATGGTTTCTTACTTAGTCAGGATTTCTTACCTATACAGATCTTTTCCGGTCAGCACTTTCTCAGTCAGCAAATATCAAACGACACCTAAATGTAACAATATTCATACACAAACAGTCTTAAGAAACAACAAGCTTTCATTTTTTGGAACCATTTGAGACTGACCAATTTGGGATCATATCAGATAATACAAACATATTACCTTCTCTTGGGCATTTCCACAAACACGTCATGTGCACTTCCTTTAATCATATTAACAGCTTCTATAGAGCTATTTTTTCAAGTACAACATTTTCATACCCTTTTTAACAGAACAAAAGAGCAAGAAGAAAAGCTTATTCTATATAAATTGAATGTTTAAAAACATAGGAAAACGTTTATAGGGGAAACAGAAGGGGACGTTACCTGAGAGTCCTTGGTGTATTATGATGGAAAATAAGGAAGATTGGAAGTAATGACGCGTAAGATCTGGAAGATTGGAAGCATCTTCATTTGTAGCCCTCTTTACCCTTGCAAAAACGTATTGCAATTGAAATTGAATCAGAACGTGTCAAAGGAAACGGTGTGTTGGAAAGAGCTGGGAACACGCGATCGATTGAATCCAGGAAGAAAGGAATCAAAGAATTTCTCAGTCGTTGTTTATAATGGAGCACATGGACATCATCGTCGGTACGGTTCGGTTTCCTGCTGCCTTCATCATGTTTCCCTTCTTCTCCTCTTAATATGTCCTTCTCGATTTCATTTCAGCTCTGTGGCTCTCCCCGGTGGACACAACCCTAAAATGGCTCCCACCGTAAGGACTGCCATGGATGTCCGTCGTCTGGAAAGCAATAGAATTTTCTTATGTGGTGAAGTGAATCGACGATGGTTATCGTCTTCCATATCTCAATGAAGCAAGCGACGTATGTAACTGAAAAGGCAGAAAAGGTGGAACTGAGAGGTGTTTGTGTAGAGGGATTAAACTTACCAACGCAAACAACTAAACTAAACAGCTTCCATGGTTAGATAGAAGGGATGCCGATGCGGTCAGGGAGAGACGGAGGGTTTTGGAGAGGCGGTGGGTGCTGTTTGTTTTTTCAACGGAGGCGACGAAGTGAAAACAGAAGGAAAACCGAGGCTAAGGTGCTGTTTGTTTTTTCTGAGGCAAAATGTCTGCAGTCTGCGGACCACATCTGTAGACCTCTGCAGTAGAAGAGGTGGATCAAACGTTTGCAGTCTGAAAAAAGAAGACTGTTTGTTTTTTTAACATCTACGGGCTATTAAAATAAACTGCAATCTAAATAAACTGATTTTTTAAAACTTCAAAGCGAATTTTTTATATATTTTTACGACTTTATTATAAATATATAACGAATCTAGATCAACTTTTATGTATTATTATATAAAAAATAAAAATAAAAATGATATTAATTCATATATATATTTGATAAAAACCAACAACTTTGATTGCAAAGTTATAACTAAACATTATAATTAGTGATAAAAGAATTTGTACATAAATAGATGGAAATAAACTTCGATTTTTTCAAATAAATCTATTAAAAACGTACGATAAATATTTTCTCGAGAAATTGATGATACTCTATTAAATAAAGTTTTACAAAATTTTGGCAAAAAAATATAAGAATATATTTTGATTTTTTTTTTCATATTTATATAAACAATTTCAACGACTATTATTATAATAAATTTTTATTTATAAATTTGTTAAAAATATCATGTTTGTATCGTCAAATGTTTTTTTTTAAGTTTTGTAATTTTTTTTTCATATTGTTTATCATTAATAAAGTTGGAAAAAATATAAATTAAAAAAAAAAACTTAAAAAAAATAAAGATATATATGTTTTTTTAAGCTAGAAGATGTCTGAAGATGTTAGAAGACTCTGGTCCACATCTGCGCCAAGAAGAGGGCGCGCAGACATTTTTAGGTCTGCAGTCTTCAAAAAAACAAACAGTCTGCGAAGACTAATGTCTGCGCGTGGTCTGCGCGGCGCAGACAGAAGACGTCTCGCAGATCTGCAGACAAAAAACAAACACTACCTAAGAGTCAGTGAAATCGGCTGAGTCAACAGAAGAACCGAAGAATACCCAACACGTAGACAATTTGATGACTAATCAACACACGTGGAATACGTAAAAATCAACCATGAAGGATCAAAAATTGCTAACTAAGCAACATATTGAACGGCATTTATAAAAAATTAAAAAAAAAAAATACCTAGAAAACTCTAACACCTGAAGAATGAAATTAAGGGGGCTATAAAAAATACCAAAGTATAAGGTTCAAAAGCGGCAAATGGTATGCGAAAATACTGTTCCTAAGGTTCATAAGTTTAATATATATATATATATATATATATATATATATATATATATATATATATATATATATATATATATATATATATATATAATAATAATAATAATAATAATAATAATAATAATAATAATAATAATAATAATAATAAATCAAATTATTAATAATAAATAGGATATATATACAGTCTAGGGGTTACAGCGTATTTCCCTTAAATCATTTTAGTTAAGACAAATCCAGTTGGGGTAGGTTCTGTAAGAATGGATAACTCTAAGGACTAAATCTGCCACTTTCGAAAAACTGTCACTTGTCTCATTCTCTTCATTTTCGCAGCAACACAGACGGGATTACATGCCATATTCAGACCTATAAACGAGATTCTCTCAAAAGCCATCTGATCTTACTCCTTTAGTCCTTTATACATTATTCTCGACCATTAAATCCATTCTCAACCTCCCTGCTCGGATCAGATAGAATGCGAGTGTGTTCTTGAGTTTGTGTGTGTGAGTGGGTGTGTGTGCGGGCGCGAGAGAGAGTATCAAGAGATGGGTGAGCCGCTGAGATCAAACGTTCTGGATTTTTTCCGGTGTAATCTCGTAAGCTCCGGTGAGGCTCAAACCAGTAGCACCGAAAGACATGGGTTTAAACTCAGTTGGTTATCTTCCATTCGTTCATTCCAGACAACGATTCCAGCGAGTAGACAAGCTTCGTATTGCTTAGACGAGATGTTAGAAGGTGTTGGGTTGAATGAGGGTACACATCTGCAAGGAGACGTGTGGAATGCGTATGATGTATTGGTTTTATATCCAACGGTGGTTATGGAGCTGTGCCCATGTTTTCTGATGACTATAATGGTGAGAAAATGGGTTTGATGTCAGGTTGTTCAGAAGGGCTGCAACCACCATTTCTGGTCCATTATCAAGCTGTGTGGGTGAATCAGAATGGTTAAAAGATTCATTGGAGCGGGATGATTTCCATTGATGTTCACGTTTGGAGATACATGTCTAATAACTCCACATCAGGAGGTGGAGTGCTCGGACCATTTTGCTGTCGCCGGTGAGAAGGTGTCGCCGGAGAAGATGATATCGTTATATCATCAAACCCTAACGCAGCCATTTCAGATTCAAGAAATTATCTTGGGCATGGAAGATCTCTAATGTTTGGTAAACTTTTTTCTTTGTTAATAATGTTAATATTGCTAAAAAATGATTTTATTTTTCATAAATATATATGTTATTAGTTTTTAAGCTTATAATGTTCATTAGTAGATTTTATTTTTATAAATGTTAAATGTTATACATTTTTTAAGAGATTGTCCCACGTAAAATAAAAAGGGGAGAATAATTTTTATTCTTAAAAGCATAAAAGTTTGAATCTATAAAATAAACAAGAACCATTGGAAGGTTAATTTTTCATTTGACATATTTCAAAAGTTTTCACTTAAATGACAAATTATAATATATAAGATCATTATGTGGGAGACTCGTGTATTACACGGGTTTATTAAAAATAAAAATTTGATATCAATAATTAAACATTAAATATTTTATAGAATAATATTTTTACATAACATAATGTAATCTTTTGAAATATTTTTAAAAGAAATCAAATATTCTTTAGAATATTTATGAGACATTATTATCAAATTAATAAAATGATTCTCTTTCCTTATAAAACTCATTAGAATTTTATGAAATTTTATTTTAAAAAAAATGAAAATTCTAAAATAATGACAAGTGGAAAATAATAGTTCTAAAACTCCTACAAAATTATATGTGACAAAACTCTTAAGAATTTGACAAGTGAAAAAAAAAAACTTTCATTTATTAGAGAGGATGCATTCTCCAACGTCAACATCCACATGTATCCAACGGGTTATCCTCCTCCGAAGTGACTTATTCTTCTTTATCTCGATTTTTTTTCTTCATTTAGCTAACTTTAATAATTCTGTAAGATTTTTTTTTTTATTTCTTTGAAAGATCAACGAAATTATTGTTCAATGGTTGGAGTTCATTGACTTTCAACAAACTCCAAGTGGGTTTACAATTGAACCCGGTATATAGTTAGAACCGACAACTAACTTGAGTGAGTGTATTATGTTTTGTTCCTTAAACTTTCTTAGAGATTAGTTAATGATTGTGATATATATATATATATATATATATATATATATATATATATATATATATATATATATATATATATATTTTGCTAGTTTCATAGTAGAGTCTGCACATGATTTAATAATTAAAGTTTTCCACATATTAACCTTACAATGTTAAAAGATTTGGTGCAAGCTATGTTGCCAACTTTGTTGCAAGATCTTGACTTGCTAGATGAGTTGCAAGCTTTCCATCAAGATGACTAGCCAGCTTAAATTGCATCGAAATATCAAGATTGACATCCTCCCCGTACCCACCAATCAGTATTCCGACAACCCACGAGTTCATGTTTCGAATGGATATGAAAACTATAACCTCTAGATGAGATATTATGCTAGGATAAAGAGATGAGTTCGTAAGCATCACTATTTATGTCTTCTAGCTGCAGGCTGTAAAGAGACTAGGGTGGTCTCTCTATAGCCTGTAGCTAGAAGGCATGAGTAGTGGTGGTTACAAACCCTTCATTTTACCTTATCGTAGTATCTCATCCATATGTAATCGTTTCCATATCCATTTGGAGTAGGAACCCGTGTTTGTCGGAATACTAGTCGGAAAGTGGTGGGAGGATGTCGATCTTGATATTTAGGCACAATTTGAGTGGGCTGGCTAGTCATCTTGATGGAAAGCTTGCAGATAATGCAACAAAGGTGACAACATAGTTTGCACCAAATCTTCTTGCATCTTAAGGCTAGTGTGTGAAAAACATTCATTATTAAACCATGTGCACATTCTGTTATGAAACATGCAAAAAGAAAAAAAAATAAAAAATTATCACAATCTTTAAATAATCTCTAAGAAAGTTTAAGGAACAAAACAGAAAAAGCTCACTCAAGTTGGTTGTTCATTCTAACTACATCGACTTCAATCGTGAACCGATTTACAGTTTGTTGAAATCCAATGAACTCCAACCACTGAACAATTATTTCATTGACCTTCAAAGAAATAGAAAAATAATCTTACGGATTATTAAAGTTAACTAAATGCACAAAAAAAGTCGACATAAAGAAGAATAAGTCACTTATGAAGGAGGATGACCAATTGGATCCATGTTCATGTTAGAGAATGTTTGATCTTATGGAACTGTAAATTGTAATTTAAGTGAAAACTTTTGGAATATATTTGGATGAAAATGACGCCTTTGACAATAAAGATGAAGGATTCTAGTTTATTATTTCCATTTTTGAACCCCTGGATGTGGGTCAATCTCCTAAAACTAAATGCATAACATTTAACATTTATAAAAATGAAATATACCATGAGCATTATAAACTTAAAAACTAATAACACACATTTATGGAGAATGAAATCATTTTTTAGCAACATTCATATTATTAACAAGAAAAAAGCATACCAAACAGTAGAGATGTTCGATGTCTGAGATGAGTTCTTGAATTGGGGTTTGATTTTATATAAAAATGAAATCTATGATGAACATTATAAGCTTAAAAATTAGTAACATACATTTATGGAGAATGAAATCATTTTCTCGCAACATTAATATTATTAAGGGGGTGTTTGGGATTGCTTTTTAGCCTAAAAAATCAATTTCAATAAAAGGACTTTTTGTCTTATAGCTTTTTGCAAAAGAAGATTTTAAAATGTGTTTGGATTATCTTTTGAGAGAACAAAGGAAAAAAAACCAAAAGTCACAAAAAGTCATAATTTCTAGCTTTTAAAATCACTCTTTTTTTTTCTTGCCAAAAAGTCATTTTAAAAAGACTTTTAGAATTGTCAAATATCTTTTCAAGCTTTAACCTTTTGGAAAAGCTAAAAGTTCAAAAAGTCATTTTGAAAACGAATTCCAAACACCCTCTAACATGAAAAAACTTACCAAACATCAAAGATCTTCGATGTCCAAGATGAGTTCTTGAATAGAAATGGCGGCATTAGGACTTGAGCCAGAACTAGGTCGATAATAATATTAAGTTCTAGAACAATGAATGCTTAAATCATTAACATACCTTAGGGTTCAGGTCATTCTAAGCTCTCAACTATGATGATACATGAGATTTTAGGAGAAACGGGGGAGGAAGAAAAGTAAGAGGGAAGAGAAAGAAGATGGTTGGATGAAGGGGTTAATGGTGAGGGAGTTTTAGCGTATAATGGTACTAAAGAAAAAGTTAAGAAGATGATTGTTGTCTTGTAATGACACGAATTCAATAAACATTTATTTTTATTTTTTTATTTTAAATAGGTTTTAAAAAGAAAATCTTTTATCATTTTATTATATTTTGTTGGAGATATTTTTTCTGTAAAATTTTGATATATCGGATATTTTCAAAAGTGTTAATGTTGTTTTGGTAAAAATATATTATTTCAATTGTATTTAAACTGCCAATAAACATAAAAATACTATAAAAAGGTAAGAAACTCTTAGTTTATATTTCATATTTATATTTTTGCCATTGATTTTTAAATTTTATTGTGAATATGTTCACGTACAAACTTTAAATTTTATTACGGATATAATTAGAACTTGTTATTTTCTTTTTACAAGATCAAAATTAGTTTCTTTTACAACGTTTTGAAAATTTTTAAGATTTTTTTTGTTTTTTTTTTTGAAAAAATAAGGAGAAAAAGAAGGAACCAAATGAAGAAATGGAATGGACATGAGAAGTGGGGTTTTCATTTTTTTTTATTAGGGTTTCGTGTATGCCCCTTATTATTAAGAGCTCTAAAATATTATATTTACTTGTCCTTAAATCTAAATATTGTATATATCCTTTTTAATCTTTAAAATATCATATTTATCCAAATTTATTATTTAAACACTTTTTAAAATCTTTTAATCAATTTTTATATTTTATAATCATTTTAATTTAAAAACATAATGTTAATCGACCAATTTGCCCTTCAATACTTCAAACCCTTTTGCCATAACTTGGATTAACCATAATGTCCTCAACTATCCTAACCCTTTTGCTGATTACATACCCGGAGGATACGAAATGCATTAATTTATCCCAACTAATTACATATACATACGACACACGCTTCAAAGAAGTATCCCTTCATTCAATGTCATCTTCAACAACACCTGTACAACGAAGAATTTGTCCCGAGAAGATGGTAACTGAAGTCGCATTTGGTGATACAATGTGGAATATGGAATGTGATTGCCAATTCTGATTTTTGATTACACAATTCTGATTCGTGTCCTTTTAATTGCAATTTCTTATTATCAAAATTCGATTGCTTATTTTGCCTTTTGATTACTCACCTGATAATTAAGTCGATCAATGTTTTTCATCTTTAATTACGACCTATATGTACTCTTCCATGTGACTGACAATTTCTTGAATAACAACAAATTAACAGACGATTTGAGTGGCGAAAAATCAACAAATGAAATCTTGAATGGCAACAAATCAACAGACAAAAACATGGACAATTTCATTGAACAGGTAAAGTTATTTACTCTCAAGCTGTCTTTCATGTATTTTAACGAGTTAAAAGCCTAATTGTTATATAAACATTTAACAGTCACACTTAGACACGAATGATGACATCTCAACACCGATATGGTAGAACACGATTGAGTCTATGATCGATTATGTTTCTATGAGTATACCATCTTCTAAGTACATGATAAAATTGCAATATGGGGGTATTTTTCGACTAGCAAGGAACACTAATATATATTGTTTTGGCTCTTAGAAATGCATCTACATAGAGATATGGTCATACAACTTTTCTTAACTAAATGATGAATTCATAAAACGTTATTCATCAAAGAATAATCCAGATTTTTCAATTTGGTATGTTGACAAGTTTACATTAGACCGATCATACATCCAACTAGATTCTGAGGAGAAGTTCATAGCTATGCTTACCATGTATGAAAATGAGAAAGAAGTAACCATTTATGTGACAACAGAAAATAACCTTGACTTAAATAACCTTAATATTAATAATCAGTTAAGCGTTAATAGAGATGAAATACAGTATGAAGATGATTTAGACTATTGTCCCAGTGGAGCAAGTTATTATAGTCATCTTAGTTTTGATAATGAATATAAGCCCATGACGGATGATGATGAGGCTGACTCATTTAGCAAGAGCAGTTTAAGCATGAAGGTGTGCTCAAAATATGAAAATGCGATTAGTTTTAAGAAGAGCTTTGAACCATTATGAAATCACGAATGAGTTCGAGTACTTCAACCAGAAAAGTGACCCGACACGATTTTCAGAAAGGTGTCAAAAAATAGATTATGCATGGAGAATTCATGCTTCTATCATGCAAGATGGAATTACATTTGAAGTAAGTATATAGACTAACTTATATATATAGCATGCTTTCCATTAGCGATATATTTATGTTTATGTAATTCTTTTACAGGTTAAGAAAATGGTGGAAGGACATACATGTACTTGAAGTAACAAGGGTGGTAATAAGCGTGCTACTTAAAAATGGATTTCAAATATAGTTGCTGACAAATTGAAATCTGATGGGGGATGTCTCTCCTATCGAGCTTAGAAAGTGGATTACAAAAACTTACAATGTTGAATTACCATATTTAAAAGTATTTAGAGGTAAAGAGCAAGCTTATATTGATATGTATGGTAAGTGGGAAGAATCATTCATGAAGTTGGATGAATTTAGAAAAAAAACTACTAAATATGAACGACGGAAGCATTGTGAAAATTGACTTTGATATTGCTAGTGACAAGAAATGATTCAAAAGGTTTTTTATTTGTCTAACAACTTGTTTTAAAGGGTTTCTTGTTGGTTGTCATCCTTATATTGATCTTGATGCTTTTCATTTAAAAGGAAAGTTCACTGGTGTACTAGCTGCTGCAACGGGTATCGACAGTAACAATTCCATCTTTCCAATAACTTATTATGTGCTTGAATCAGAGAGTACACAATCATGGACATGGTTTCTTGAATCACTTAAAAAAAGCAATCTCGTTTCCAGATGGTCTTGTGATCTCATGAGACATGCCAAAAGGGTTAGAAGTAGTTGTGATGCACATTTATCCTAATGTCGAGCATAGAGAATGTGTACGACACTTATATAGCAATTTCAAGAAACAATTTTGTGGTGAATTCTTCAACAAGAAACTTTGGGGTGCTGCAAAAACCTACCGTCGTACTAAGCATGACAGATTATTGAAGGACATTGCTGATGTAAGTCAAGATGTCATTACATATATAAATAACAATTACAAAAAGATATGGAGTAGAAGCAAATTTGGCACAACTTCCAAATGTGATTACATCACTAATAATATTTCATAATCGTTTCTTGGATTGGTGAAACACGTTATCAAGATGTGCTTGATCTACTTGATGCAATTAGAGAAAATCTTATGAAATGGTTTGACAAAAAGAGGGTGTTAGTGAAAAGATGGAATGGCGTATTGCTTCCTAATGCTAAGATTCGTCTCAACTACATCTCTAAGGTAAGTATGTTAATTATAGTTCAATTACATATGCATATTTATTTTAAACTTGGATGATGCATATAGATCATAATATATCTTTTTTTTTTTTAATCTTTCATGTATAACTTGGGTGAATATGAAGTATGTGGATGTGGTGACAATCAAGTTGAGGTGAAGTTCAAGGGAACACGCTGGGAAGTCAATCTAGACAAAAGAAAATGTTGTTGTCGAGTTTGGCAAGTTACGGGTGTTCCATGTGTACATGCAACGACTTTTTTTTTTTTTTTTTTTTTTTTTACAAGGGATGCTTGTTGGGACCAATATGTTGATCAATATTTTAGTATAGAGAAATTTAAAGAAGCATATGCTTTCAAAATTGCTCCGATGCCTGGAAATGATTAATGGATTAAAAAAGGCGGGGAGAAAATTTACACACCTGTCATGAAAAGACCGTCTGGAAGACCCAAAAAAATAGAATTAAACCCTCGGATGAGCTTAAAAGAAGGCACAAGTGTCCGCGATGTGGTGAGTATGGACACCGTGAAAAGAGTTGCAAAAATCCCACATCTCAAAGTTTCGATCCAAGTGAAACATCCATGAGTACAAGGTTGCTTAAAATTACATTTATTTTGTCTTATTCATAAATATATATATATATATATATATATATATATATATATATATATATATATATATATATCAAAACTTATACAATGATAATAATGTTTTTATTTATTTTAGGAAACGTGAAAAGAAAACAAAATTTGGCGGTAGCTTGGGTGTTTCAGGGTCCATGTGAAAAAAATAATGACAATAGTTGGTCGTTTTGACAATTTTCTTATTTTTATTGATTACAAGTTGTAAGATGTTGCTAAATAGGTTTTTTAAAAGTATGTTGCTAAAAAAGTTTGTTTAGAAAGTATGATGGTAAAATGGTTTTTCTACAAAGTATGTTGCTACAAATACGTTTGTTTACAAACTATGTTGCTAAAAAAATTTGTCTAGAAAGTATGTTGCTGAAATTTAAAACAACAGGGACCAAACTGTAACTAAAGCAAATTTTAAAACAACTGGGACTAAACTATAATTATTGCTAAACTAAAAACAACGAGTACCAAAATGTAATTAATGCAAAATTTAAAACAACATGGACCAAACTGTAAGTATTTCAAAATTAAAATCAACAAGGACCTAACTGTAATTATTGCAAAACTAAAAACAATAGGACCAAGTTGTAATTAATGCCAAATTTAAAACAACAAGGACCAAACATGTAAGTATTGTTATTAAAAATTAAAGAGACAAAAACATTGGTTATTGTAATTAATAAAATCGTACTTACACATCATCCATTATAATATCAGATGTACTTCATACATTACATTACATTCTCCTAACAAGTTGCATCAAATTACTAAAAAGGCTATATCAACATAAAGGGCGTCCTCTATACCAATACATTTGCTCGTTCAATTTGGAAAGAGGGACAAGATGAAAAAAGACTTTGTCTGCTTGTGCAAATCCTTATCTTTGTCAGGGGCAGTATCAGTATCAGAAGATTGCATGTAAGTCTATGATCTTGAGAAGTTGGGTTTGTTTTTATCATTTGGTGCAGTTGTAAAAATATGGTTGTTTATGGTTGAGGTAGTAGATTCTGGATGTTGCACCTTACTTTCTTCATTTTGATTCTTTAGTATCTCAACGACAAGTGATGAGGGGCTCACTACTGATGTTGAAAATTATAGTGTTGTAGTTATAGTACATGTGTCTGCCTTGTGCTTTGAACTTCCATTCGAACTCACTACATTTGTAGCAAGAGGTTGGCTATTTGAAGCACTTGTTCCCCTGTGTAAGCATATTATCAATCAGTAGATATCCAAGAAAAGTTTTATAATTTGTTAGTTAGAAAATGCATACCATGAGACTGTTGCACGAAGAGCTACATATCTCCAAGAACTACTATTTGGTTGGAAACTTTCATGATGTTGGTTGTATCTTGTATTCCTATTTGTGAGAAATGAACAACAAAAGTTTCCATCATTAAAATTTCAAAAAGCTTATCTAAATTTCTCTTAAAACTCAAACTAGTATAATAGAATCAATGATGAAAAATATCAATTCCAGAATACCATGAAAATTGTATGAAAGCCATATGCATATATCTCATTCTCAAACCTACCAAAATATCAAAGAAAAAGCTTTATGATACACAAACTATACCACCAACTAAATCTCCAAATTTGATCCTTATTGATACCAATCATCATTTCATTACAATAACGAATTTATAAGTACTAACTCAAAATGACCTAAAATTGTTGGTTTTCTAACCTTTACTAAGCTCAAAAGCACCAAGATTTAACTCCGCAATAGGAAAATCAGTAAAATTGAACGACGACCACCATAAAAAACATCAACATTCACGTCGTCCATATCTCCCTTCATTAGGCCCACCACCATGTTATCCTTTGTCGAAACCCCTACCACTATTGCCACCAATATGAAAATTACCTCAGACGAAAATCCTAGCTAATTAGAATCAAATGAAGCTACAAATTAATAATATGTTAACAGAACCTGCGGATGTCGATTAATGTCTGGAGGCATAGAGAAGACAGAGAATGTGACTGTTGAAGAAGATTTCATTAGGAGTTGATCCGATTTTGGTTGTCATTACGATTTCATTAGGAGTTGATCTTCGGGTGTTGTTATTGGCACCTTGTCAAAAACATCTTAGAAAAGTCAAAACCACATTGAAAGATGTAATAAGTAAAAAAGTCTACTAATAATCATTTTACGTTTTTTTTTATTATTCCATATTGAATTGATTTCTATGTATAAATGTTTTAAACCATTTTATTTAGTTTCTAAATATTGTTTGTATATTTTTATCATTTTTAGTATTTTTTTATTTCTAAATTGATTTCTAACATATAAATTTATAATAAAAAATATATTTGTTATAAAATATCATATTTTATTCTATAAGGCCTATAATTTCAACTACCCACGTAATTAATTACGTTCGCTTGAGTAAATAAGAAATATATCGGTTTAAAATTCATATTATTATTATTAATTCTTTGAGAAAATTACAAATAAAGTATTTTTTCAATGATTATGTGAGAAACAATTAAAAGGGTAATTGTTACTGTAGCCCAGCTATTTCGTATATCCCTCGTGACCTTTTTGCATTTAAAGGGCTTGTACTTGTAATTTTATAGTTTAAAATGTCACATTTGAACATTTGAAGGGTGCAGCCGGTCACACCCATTCTACTAGGATCTTTATTTATGCTACGTCATTGCCAAGTAGATTAAAGATGCCATGTCATTGCCATGTGTGTATGAATAAATGAAACCTAATATCTGTTTAAACCCTCCTAAACTGTCATTTTCATCTACTTTATTCCACTATCCTTTTCTCAAACCGTTCTTCGCACAAATTCGTTTCTTAAACTCCTCCTCGCTCAAATCGGCCAACATAATCATTGCTATGGCTGTTTACATGAAGATAGATCTCCATTTTGCTTGAAGTTTTACGAGGTACACTGCTATTTGTTACTCATATGGAGCAGAGCAAAGGTTTGATGATATCGATTTTGCTGGAATGGACAAGAACGAGTTTGTGGTGTTCCTTCAAACATTCGATAATGAGTTATGTGTGAATGTTTACTTTTGACTAAAAAAACCACACTGCATAAACTTTAAAAGTCATGGTGATGTTAATACCAACATAATGACCATCAACTGCAAAATGTAGTAGCAAAAGGAACTTAATAAGCTTAATTGAATATCTAAAGTAGATAAACAACTAACTCAGAACCTTAAAACAAAATTACTCAATTTTCAAATACAACCTCCATTGGCATCATCCTTCTTCTTCATTCAATCTTTTTATTCCCCAACACAACTAGCGTTAATTGTTCTTTCTTGCTTCGGTTCAACGTATTGACCCTTGGCTTCCTATAAAGCATAAATTAACTGATGTGCATCAATCTTAATTACTTTCTCCAAACTCTTGTCCTTAACATAGATAACTTCATAAAAACCACACTGCATAAACTTTAAAAGTTAAATTAGGCATTTTATTGATAACAATAAGAGAAAATAGCTAAACATTAACCATCAACAAACTAATTTTCTTGTAAAAAGACATGATTTTTAAAACTTTTGTGCCTCCCTTGTTCCCCTCACTTTTAGTAACTTAAAAAATAAACCTTTTTACATGTAATAAGGAAATCAACAATGTATGCTTTTCTATGTACACGCTAAATTGATACAGACAAAGTCTGAAGTAGAAAATCACCTCATCAATAACCACTTTCTAGCAAAATAGAAACAATTTTGAATTATTGTACTACAAAATTCAAGGTTTGCTCAAAATGGAACAAAACCATATGTGGGTTACTATTTCGTTAAAAAATGTAATCACAACCTGTGCTCGTTCCAACATTCGTAAATGATGAAAACTTTAAAAATAGAAAACAACCGGAGGAAGCATGGATTCTTGATAATATATCTAAGATGTCGGGCTTCATTTAAAAAACCCGAATCTTACCTCTTTAGCATCTTAACTCCTTCCAACAAAGAACAATGGAATTATTGACATTCCCCACATGTTTTTTTTACTTTAATTATTACGTGACAAACAATTTAAAACAACATCAAAGATTTTTGTTGCCTAAATCTTCCCAGATAAAAAATAGAAGTATGTTATAGGTTGGAGGAGGCCTTAATAGCTCAACACTCACATACTTTTCAAGATACCATGATTTCAAGAAGCATAACATGGATTGTGGTTGGATGTTAAAACGCTATCGTGGTCGTTTTAAACAAATAAAATATCATTGCTTAAATGCACGAAGGGATAACACATGGAAGCATGGTCGAATCCACAATGACACAGCCTAAAATTCAATTCCTCTTTGCGTAAGGCGTATATACACTAGTCAAAAACAGAAAATAATAAAAAGTAGGGGTTTATTGTAAAATTATTAACTAAAATAGCGGTGAAATAAAATAAAGAAAATTTAATTATAAATAATGAATTCAGTTATACTGCGGATTTCATAATCATGCAATCAACATTGACCTGATTATTCAAAATGTGTTTTATCTATGTCGTTACTGAGAATATCTAATAGGCTCTAGCATATTCTCTTTTACCTAGTTAATTAACCAAAACAAACTCTTCAGTTAACCCTAACTTTTTACTAATTCAATTAAACAAGCTTTTAATTAAAATCAGAAAAGCAGTCTTAAGATCTATGTAAATTTCCCAGCAATATGCAATACTTCTCACAAGCTCGGAAGCTAAAAATATGAAATTTCAGTTTATATCATAATTAAATCCCAACATGTAACCAATCTGATACTTGTTACTTATTACTAGTTGATTAGAACAATTACAAATTCCATTAACTAATTAACTAGATTGATTAAATCCTAAATTGGGTGATCAAGCTAAAAAGAATCAAAATCAAACATTCATTAAGATCAAGAATAAAAGAATCTAGATAGAATCACAAATCAAAAACTAGGTCTAACGATTGATTACATGAAAAATACTAATCTATGCAGAACTCAAATCTAGGGTTGAGCCAGACATGGCTAAAATCCAATCTAGAATAGTAAAAAGAGACATTAAATAGCTAAATCTTACTAAACTAAATGTATGAGGTGATCCATGACCTTCAGATCTTCAGAAATTGATGAAAATGGAGAGAAATCGCCTAAAAATCGTCTGAAAACGGTTTTTTTGTCGTCTGGGAACGTCTATGGTTCAAACTAATCAGAG